GTCATCAGCAGTATAAACAAATGAGGACATCCTCTCTTTTATGAGGTGTGTATGTATTGGCTATTACAATAAATCCTCTTTTTTTTCTATTCAGTGTACCAAGGCATCTAAAACTGTATCAAAATCAGTCTGTAAACTCAAACTGGTACTGTATTTTTTCAGTTACAAATCCTTTCACTGCAGCAGAGAAGGGAAAACACCCGCTCTTAACTGCTTGCACAAGAAGTGCGGTCAGCTTTACAAAAATGTGTGAGCAGCTCTCTCTTCTGGCCTTGCAGAATATAACAGTTAGAGACAATTTTCTTCTTTTGCATTTCTTTTCTTGCAAGTGGAATCCAAGTACATGCCATGTATGATACAATAAATTCAAAACTGGCTGGCATAAAAACTGTTGAAATGAGCAACACTGTCCAAAGAAGGTCTAAAATCTCTGAAGCCGACAACTGCATTTAAACTTCTAAAACACACCTGGATTTAAGCTTTCTGTTTTGTCGTTACTGTCATTAAATTATCTAATATTAAAAACACGTTTAAAAATTTGCATCAGTAAACTCATAGCGTTACTGGTATTTTTTAGCAGAGGAAAACACACAAATGTGAAATGATGCTTCCATTTACTATAGTTAAGCTTCTGTGTTTTTTTTTTTTTTTCAACTTACACATATTAATCATTTACACACTCTGCAAAGATAAAAGTAATGTTTGATCAGAGAATCGTTTATTTACAGGAACATACCAGTGCCCAGTAGAGAACATGAAGCACATATGATAGGTCTTTTTCACAGCAGACATTTCAAAAATGTCACAATAAAAGGATAAATTATTTCAGTTTCAGAGTCCTGGTATTGTTCATGCTGGCTCATCGTGTTACTGTCATGGTTTACTGGGAGTTGAATAAAGTCAAGACAGCATTTCTGATTTAGTATCACCTTCGACAAGTCAAAGGCACCCTTGACATACTTGCAAAGTCATCTGATGTACAAAATGCATATACAGTAAATCATTAAAGGGGTAGGACCTTCTGTTGTAGGCAAACTGGGGTTATAATGGGTTGATATTTAGAAATTTAAGTGATTTCTTTTGTCACTACACCACTTTCAAAACATTCCGTTTGCCGAGGTCTGTTTAGTCTGCTTCACTGCTTTCTCTGCCAGCACCTGCATTCACTCACTAACATGTCACAGTCGGTGGCAACTGTTACTGTGAAATGTTTTACAAGCTGCAACAATGTGCAGAGGTTGTACGTGATGTTACAGCACTCTGTGGCACTTTCAGCCTTTTCAGAATGTAAGGGTCTGAGTCAGAAATTTCTACCCATTGTGACTTTAATAGTACATGTAAAATCTGTTGTTTTGTCACAAAGGCAACATATTATTTTTCATTCTGTAATACCAGTACTAGCAAAGAAATCCTCTCTTCAACAATAAACAGTTCTCTGGCTGCTGGTCATCAGCCTTAGAAAGAAAACTCATTTGAATGATGCAGTCAAGTCGAAGTATCACTGACCTTTTGTGCCAGATCATGTAGGCAGATGATGTATTGCATAATGGCAAACAAACTTTTCTCTTAGGTAGATAAGTGAGGTACACATGAATCAATATTATTACTACTACTGTGTATTAATTTTTACATGAAATACATGTGGCATTTTAATGTTAGAAAAGTTTAAGATATCTCCTCCTGCTGGACATTCCCTGTACCATAAAGTCAAATGTTTCAATGTGACACTGGCTGTACTGCATTCCCAAATATGTCAAGGTGAATGGATGTGCTTTAGTAACACTGCAGTGTTTTCACTTCAGAGTCATATCAAACACAGTTTATCCTGATGTTAATTTTATGTGCAGAGACTGTTCCTATCTTTGCAGAAATTGTTCTGTAATCTGGTGCCCAACGAACCTCGTCTGACTCGTTGTTTTGGGTAGCTGTGAACGTCACGACCTTGGCACAAGAGTAAAATTTATACAAGGCGGAGGTGTGAGCTTGGCCTTTAAAGTCCACTGTTGAGTGTTCACAGTTTAGTGAGCTACTGAGAAATTTAAGGTATGTCTGTGTGGGGAAAGGGTAATTAATATCTGTAAATAAGAATACAGTAACTACAGATATTTGCACTCTGTGTTAAGCTGACTGTATGAACCATTTAGCGGCCACTGGTCACTGCTCCTTAATTTGCTGGGAGAGATGGTTTAAAACTAAGATTGGGACAATGGGTTAGCTCCAAAATGTAAGACTAGGACAAAAAAATACAATTGAGAATATCAAAAACTGAATTTAAGTATCATATAGCCAGAAACAATTTGACAAATAAATACATGAATGAAATTAAAAAAAAAAAAAATCAATAAAAAACGACATGTATATGAAAAAATGCAGCTCCACTGACCTTGTTTTATTTTCAGGAGCTTTCTGAAGGGGGAGGTGTTGCATTGCAAGTGGACAGATGTCTGCTTTTTACAGTTATTCATCAACTGGCCTGTTGTCGTTTGCTGAGAGACTGCAAGCTTGCACCTGAGTGAGGTTTACTGTGACAAACATGATCAACTTGTTTTGAAATGGTTTCCAGATGGTTTTTTTGTTACATATGATCTAGATTTTCCTCATGTATATTCAACTTTTGAAAAAGAAAAATCTTTGAAAAGAATTTTCAACCTCAGGAATGTTTCAGGAATTTCAAAATAGCTTTTAATAACACAGTTGATTAATTTACCACAAAAGGCATAAATGTTAGTTACCTGTAACATAGATGATCACATTAAAATAATTTGCTATCAGTATTTTTCTCAAACACTATCAGCTGTGGATCTATGTGAAAGATTCTGTCATTGTGCTTTTCAAAAATAGTATTTTATTTATGTTTAAGTGCAACAGTGTAAAAGTAGACACTACACACTCTTATGTATTTAAAACAAACTTATTAGTATGATGGAAAAACATTAGTCTTTAATTTGTTGATTGTCACAATCTCAGTTCTCAGAGCTCAGGCAAAGGCACCAGATGCACCAGTAAATACACAGTGATCAATGGTAGCTTGGCCATTCGCTCCACTGAGATCTATGTCAGTGCCTGGAATATGATGCACTCATGACATGACACAGACTGGATATTGTGCAATGCCGGGGCATGAAGAAAGGGAACGCCATAGGAATTTGTAAAGTGGATCAGGTCTGTTAAAGAGTTAATTAATAGGTGCCTGTGTCAGCAGAAAGATTTGATCATTCCCATAGCATATGAACCCTCAAGAGAACCATAAACTTGTAGGGTCAGGCTGGGTGTCATGTGTTGCTTTGAATTAGCCTGAAAGGCAACCAGAAGTCCCCATGAAAACATTTCAGTCAAGCAGTGAGCAAACATCATGAGAATAACCCACAAACCCCAAAACAGAAATGAAGACAAATTGCGAACGTGGCACAAAGAGCCTGCATGTGGCTGTTTGCCCAGAACTGACAGCATCATTTCCAGCATTGTGACCTGAAAATAATTTGGCTTTTTTTGTTCTTTGACAGTATATTTGTTTGCTTTTCATTTAGCAACAACTGAGATGCCAACATCTGGGGAATGAGGTTAAGTTTCTCTCCTAAAGGCAAAAATCAGGCATTGGAGCAGTCACCGGGCCTGAGATCAAAACACATTTTACTAGAAAAAAATGTTGTTGTTATTATAAAGTGTAAAGTCAGCATCCCAGAGTAGCCTAAACCTGTCCTTGCTGTGCCAATAGAATGTCTGCCTGAAATTTCTTTCAGCTGGGGCCACTGAAGTGTTACAATGCACTACTCTAAATGAGGAAATATATATATATTTCTCATGTGCTATAAATTTCTTATGCAACACAACAGTGATTATTTAACAGTGAAATTAAAATACACACAGAACAGATAAAGGAAAATTATGCAGGATAATAGTCTCCATACAATTCAGTGTTCTAACTCCAGATTTGCTGATGCAGATGTTGCTGCAAACAAAAAAGTGCCATTTATTTTAAGTAGCAAAACTTTTGTTTTACCTCATTTCCAGGTCAAATGATGTCACATTTCCTCTTTATATGTTAGTGTTCCTATAAATGAACTAAAACTGTCACACTGATCAGAATGAAGTACCCCTGACACAGTGTGACACAATTGTTTCCTTCTTATATTTAGAACTATTTTTGACACTTTTCTACCACACAAGGATCAAAAATAAGGCATGTGGGAAGTCTTTTCTTATCAAAGTTCAAGGTTTGACCTTTATAATCTATGACACCTAAAGGAAGTACTTTTGTTTAGCCACTTTAACAGCTTGGCTAACTTTTGGATAAAGTACCATTGTCATTCTTTTTCCCCAGAGTGTGTACCGTATTGAATTTTGTGATCCCTTGACCTTTCCTCCAGCAACACCACCAGGTCAAAATATTCATCTGCTGGATGGACTGGCACAAAATGTTTGTACAGAAAACAGTTATTTGCTAACAGTTCAGATGCTAACAAGCTAAACTAAAATGGTGAACATTATATCTGCTAAAGGTCATGTTAACATTATGAATGCAAACATGTAAGCATGCTAATATTAGCATTTAGCTCTTTTCTACTTCAGGTCACTGAGCAACACCTTTTGTGTAAATGATGGTTTAAACTCTTCAATTAAATTCCTATAGTCCAAGGTCTTTACACTCCAAGCCAAACTTAAATTACAGTTGCCACAGGTATTAAATGTTCATTTTACAATTTAAATTAAAAAAACTCCTTGAAACTCTGTCCCAAAGACTTCTTTTAATTGCGTAGGCAACTCTGGCTAGAAAACAAGTCTGAATTTGCCTCCGTGGTGTGTCAGCGTTCATATTTCCATGCTAAGTTCTGGCTTGAACATCCTAAATAGTCACATTCCATTGTTGGAAGACAACTGGTACAAGGCTGAAGAAGAGAGAGGTAAAGAGAAAAGGGATGAAAAAGAGGGACAGACGTGAGTGAAGGAATAAGACTAAAAAACTGTGAAGGAAGGTGAAGAAAAATAAAAATGAGGAGACCATGGGGCTTCAATGCTACTGGCTGCTGTTGTTGGTCGTCTACCGTGAATGGATTACAGGTAGTGTGGTGGCGGCAGCGTGTGCATGTTTATGTGTGTGTACGTCTCTGAGTGAGAGGTCCTTTCCCACATTGTACCCTAAATATGTAGATTGTCTGTTTAAGATTATAGCCATGTGTGTATGTGAGCGTGAGTCTGCCTGGGTGTGTATTTGTGTGCATGCAGGTGTATGTATAAATAGGTGGCTTTCGGCTGCTGTGGTAAAGTGGCCTCTACTGGGCTCGGACATGCTTCGACTTGTCCTCTCAGGAATGCTGCAAACAGGAGCCCTCATGCTAAACCTCTTTGGTGATGGAGACCAAGTTGTGATCAATGAGGTATACCTGTTTGTTAGAGGTTTAGGAAAGTTTGATTCACTCAGGAGCAGCAACAGTAATCAAGTGATAACAACTTGAGCAGGAGAGTACAAGCCTCTCCCTAGGCCTTCTCCAGTCAGGCAGCACTTTCACAGTCAGCACTGAGAAGATGGTAGATTAGTCCTAAGGTTAGTCTAAATTTGGTTTGACATTTGCAAGACATAAAATCACAAAAGATTGTTGGTTGACAGTAGAGCCACAACTGACCAAACCACATTTAGTCACATTTTTTTTTTACTTAAGATGTGTTTTATAATTGATTTTAACAGTGTTGTGCCAATAATAATTCAGTCTCATAAAAGTAGTCTGTTCTGACATGTTTTGGATGTATTATTCCAAGTTAACTAAAACCTGAACTAATGCTAAATAATCATAGGTGGTCAGTGTAAATAGAAAACTGAAAAATTCAGATGGTGAAGTAATATAGTCACAACAGAGATGTGTAGCCTAAGACTAAAACAAAGACAACTCTTATATCCTGTAACTAGAATGTCTTTTTTAATCAGGAGCTGTGAGTGGCATCAGTCCATACATAAAGTATTATGAGGGCTTGTCATATGATAGGGAGGATCTTCACAGGAAGCACTTGAGAGCCAAGAGAGCCTCACAGCCTCAGGAATATACACTGAAATTGGATTTGACTGCTTTTCACAGGTAAATTCACATTTCTTTGTTTCATCAACATTATTAAACGAACAACTGGTTAAATATAAAGTAGTCATGTGCTTGGCCAAAGTCTTTGTAACAGTTCCTAAATTAACACGTCATTATTTAGTTATTGGTTTCATAACACTACAAAGATCTGACCACAACCATTTATGATTTTGTTTCCTTTCAGAACTTTCCATCTGCGTTTGAAACAAAATGCTGCTGCATTTTCCCAAAATTTCATGGTGGTCAGTGAAAATGGCTTCACTTCAGCTGACCTCTCCCACATATATTCAGGAATACTGGAGGGTGGGTATGATAGGCAGGGCTGGTAACAGTCAACCTGTTTTGATTCTGTTTAAAATAAAGTCTTTATGATTTCACTGGAATCAGAGCTATCAACTAATAGCAAGAATCATTTACAACCCTCACTTTATGACTCAGATGAAACATTTGGATTTATCAGTTTGTGGCAAACCATTTGAAGAACAAGTAAAATGTAATGAACTGGATTAAATACGAGTCAGGTCATGGCATTTCTCTCTCATGACTCCTACCTCACCTCTCCTATCTCTGTGATGTCTGAGCACTGCCTCTACTCTTTATGTATCTCTCAGTATCTTATCTATTCATGATGTCTCTCCTTCTCTTATGTCCATGGGTCGAGCCAAGTGGGTGGCCAGGGGTGGCACCAGCCACCCCCAGAATCTGATTGGCCACCCCTATTGGCCACCCCTGATATAGTCAAAATGTGATTCATGTCATTATTAATGAATGAAAAATGAAAAACGATGACAAATCATTGCCTTAAACATAGTTTTGGTGCTTTAGAATTGATATTGATCAAATTAATTTTATTTTATATCACGCATGCAACATGATATTTGCATTCATTTCTTCGACTGTGTTGTTGTAAAGTACTTGGGATGATTTGCTTCAGTGAAGGTGGGATGTGGAGACCACTGTGCAGCAGCAATGTTCCTGGTCAGGAGCAACTAAGGAGCACAGCCAAAGTTAACTAAAGAAAACACTGGTCATTTTACACAAAATAAACAATTTGATTCTTAATAATGGTTTATTTTTTCATAGAACTAGGGGTTTAATTTACCTTTTACATGTATTTCAAATGTGCCACCGTGAGCCTGTGTCCCAGCCTGGCCACCCCATCCTAAATTTTCTATCTGCTTCTGACATGTTATCTCTCTTGACCTGGTCTTGCAGGTGAAAATGGTTCGGCCTGCCATGGCTTTGTACTAGAGGGTCAGTTTGAGGGAACCATCCATTCAGATAATGGAACTTATCACATAGAGCCAGTCCATAGATACACCAGCAACCAAACAGATCACCACTCTATCATCTACCATGAAGATGACATGGGTAAGACTTCATTTTCTAACTGCAAGGAAAACGTTTGCAAAAAACCTGTTGTGTCGGCACACACTTTTAAGCTGAGACAATTAGTAATTTCTCATTTATTTATTTATTTCTGATTTATAAATCACTCTCCAGGATGATAAATCAGTTCTGGTTCTTGTGCATCTGGAGATTGAAAATATTCCTGTGGCACTCCATAACCTCAGCTTTTTTTTCCTGGACACTTTGTGATTATGGCAAGAGCACAAAAATAAATTCCTTGCTACAATAGATTTTCCTCAGCTCTGTTTAGCAGTCTCACAGAAAGACAAATAACTACAGCAACATTACTAGACCTTCTTCTGCAGACGCCAGCTCTAATGTTACTAGCGGTCAATGAACCAGCCAAACCCTTAACTCGAAGTAGGAGTGGACCCTCCCTGAGTCCCTGATCACCAGTCAAAGAAAACATGCAGAAGATCGTATGACTTTTGAAAGGGGAGGAGTAGGAGCGATGGGGGCTAAAGTAAGGAGGAAGGTGAAAGAGGAGGGATACAGGGTACAGAACAGCAGCAGGGAAAACCAGCAGGGAGAAGAAAAGTGAAGAGATGCATGTAGAGGGTCTCAGGTTTGAAGGCTTTGGTGACAGTTTCTGCAACCACAGATTAAAATAAGCTTTTAGTTGACGTCAAATAGAACAGTTAATGACTGTACCAGATGGCAGTCATAACTGAGATCTGTCGTTTTTTTATATTTTATAATATTGTTATAATATATATTGTATGTGTGGTTCTATGTCTGTTTCCGTGGCTGCATGTGCACATTTACATTAGTATTAGTACCTTATTTCTACAAAGCTTTTTCCAGGAAACACGGTGCAAATCGTGCCAGACCCTCATCCACCAAAATCCCCAAGCCCTATCCCAGTTTGTCCTCAACCCTTCAGTGCTTTTCATAACTGCAGAAAACCTTTACATTACATAGCATTGTTGCTGACAACATCCTGTCTATTCATAGGGCAGCATATCTGCAGGAAACTGTAAGAGATTTGGAACATGCTATTGCAATTAACAATCAATGTTTCCATACAAAGTGGTAAGTTAGGAGACAGGGGGCTGATATAATGCATTTACCTCTGTATGTATTTCCACTTCCTGTGGTTGTCGTCTGGGCCCAACAAAGGTTGTATTAGGAACTTTCCTGCAATGTAGGAGGTCATGAGGTCCATGAGATCTGGGACACAGGGCACCATCAGGGTGGCCATTTCGCAACGAATACAGTGTAATGACATTCAGATACTTGATTGCCAATGATTGTAGATCGACCCAGGTGATGCTATAGTAGCAGTATTTTATATTCATACACTCAGCGAAGATGTACGTCACTTGAGATGAACAGCTATTTTATATCTGCTTTTGATATTTCACTGCATACACTGCCAGGTGACTGGGGTTAACAACATGAATTAGGTCACATATCTCTGTCTGAACCCATCCTGTGCCTGAGAGTGTGGAGTCAAAACCCAACTTGGACCTGACAAGCTTATAGTAGCCTATTTGTATAATGTCGGAACCTGCCCCGAGTCTGATGCAGCTGAGTTTGTACGGAGATTGTCCCCTTATCATTAAACAAAGCAGTTGTCTAGCCTAGAGTTTGACCTACGTGTCCAAAACCGAACCAGACCTGAACATACTTTGCAAATTTCTGTCCAAACTCGGCCCGAACCCTTGAGTACCAATGGGTCTCATCAGGCTTGGTCCAGGTATCCACACTCTAATTACGATTATGCAGAATTCTGTTTTTGTGTTAAATAAAATAAAAACATACATGAATCACTGCACAAAATTATTGAAAAATATTATAGGTTAATTAATAAATACTGTTGGACAGTGTATGAATGTCTTAGACAACAAAGTACAGATGCAAAACATCTGGGTTAATAGTAAATAAACTATTATGCAGATCAATTACTATCCATGTGGCAAAGAACAAAGCAACAATATGAAATGTCAATAATAACATATAACTAAAATAGAATGATTTATATAAGTACATTTCTTTAAAAAACTTAGCAGATTTTAAAAAATGTATTATACTTTAGCTAATATTTTGACCGTTCGGTGTCCTGTAACCTTTGTCACGTTTATTCCAACACTGTGCCAATACAGGTTTGTTCTGGAACAGGTTTTTAGAAACTGAGAACAACACTGACCCTCAGTCAATAATACAAAGATGTAACCCACAGAAATATATATAGTCACTTTATTAAATAATTTATGGAATCGTACCATGTTTACTCATCTGAGCCTGAAGTCGTCATTATCTATGTTTGCTATGTTCTTCAGAAGTTAAACTGTGTTTATGTACCAGTGTGTTACAGTGTATTTGCACCCCAGTTCCAGTGAACTCCCTTTGGAATGTAATACCTCTCACTATGAATGATGGGTAAATATTAACCTAAATTCCTTGAAATAAATCAAGAGCAACACATACTGTGCATATCACTGGAAATGTTTTAATGATTAACTCCTTACTTTGTTAAACTGAGAGGGATTTCACAGTCAGGAAGTAGCTTCTGCGAAGTTTTTATTTGCATTTTCCTCCAGCATTTTTACAATATTTTGCTTGGAAACACTGGCTCAATCAATCAACTTTTATTTATATTTACAACAACCAGTAGTTGACTGACGTGCTTTACAACAATCAAGTAAAAGCAAAAGGATAAAATAAGATCAAACATACAATAGAGTAAAACAGAAAATTATGTACAGAAATCCATCCATCCATTTCATTTAGATTTTATACTTAGACAAATCTGTCAACCTTAAGTTCAACAATCATGGTAATGAGCCTTCCAACATCTATTTCTCCATCATATTGACTGACAAATTACATTATACAAAATAGAGAATTTGAGAAATATTTCTGTGGAATACTGGCTGAGCTCTCTGTGTTGCGACAGTGTGTTAAGCTTATCAGCATTACTGCAAAAGAAGTGATTACAGTTGTGTTCGTCAGTCAGAGCTACTGAAGGAAGAAAGTCACATGAGAAAACTTTGTACAGCTTGATTTCCATGATTTCAAACAGCCATACAGAATCACACAAAGCGGGAGGCAGCTTCGGCTCTGTAAAGAAACAAAATGTGTAAATGGGGAGGATGTGGATTGATAGGGGATCTCTGGGCTGCATGAAGTACAAAATCTCCCACATAACACATACAGTAATTTTGTGCAGTGTTTAAGTTTAGCATTATTTTGCACTAGAGCTTACCAATGGGGCACTTGAGGGCACTTTGACTGGGGAGTCATTTGTGGGGCATTTGGGCAGTAATTTTGAGGCAAAAGTGGAAGTGTCCAATTATACATATCCTGATTTTAATATGGCCCTGGCATTTTCTGCATCACTCCTAACAGTAGAGCCAGCTTGCAACAGCTGCTGGAAATGCGCCTGTGACTTTTCATGTGGGAAAAGTCATTTCTTGGCTAGTCTTACACTAAACATACAGTAATTTGTAAACATCACAAAGCTTGATAGTTCCATGAGATTCAGATCTCTTACAGGCATTTTTTTCTGTTATTCGATTAGCAAAGACTAAACTATTTCTGTATTTAGCTACAGCAACACAGACCAGAAGCATTTATTGCCTCCAGTATTACAACTGAGACAAAGAGAGAGGACATGGTGAAAGGTCTGGAAGTAATTCTGTCTGTGAGTCCACGCCCAGCATTTAGACCTCCGCGTCTTGCTGCCCCCACAACTCACCTCATCCCCCCTTCCATACCATGTATAGAATGAATTTCAGGTTTCTGATTGGCTGGAAGACTTTCGTGGGGTGGTGTGATCCAACCACATGTTGCTGGTATCTCACTTTAGGCTCATATCCGATACACTGGAGTTTCACACACACACTCACACAGACATTTATTTCTTTGTGAGGACACTCATAGACCTAATTCAATCCCTAGACCCTTACCCTAACCTTAACTATCAAAAAGTCCAATGTCTAACCTCCACCCTAATTCTACCCTTAACCCTAAAACCAGGTCTTACTCTCCAAACATCCCTTTGAAGCTACTCAGAAAGTGAGGACTGGCAAAAATGTCCTCACTTCCATGGGTTAAAACTGGTCCTAATAATGTAGTCATTCCAGTACACACACACACTTTTGTATGGGTCACCAGTTAACTCAGAGCATTGCCTCATTCTATCACTCTCTCATTACAGCAAACATGTGAAAATGATTATTATATAATGTGACTCTGCAACCTGTGGAAGTGAAAGCCATTTCTGTCTAGATTAATATAACTGGAGTTGCTTATTTGATTTGTACATTGGTCTTGACTATAACCACTAGGTCTGTAAAAAAAATCCAGGTGAAATATCTTCAGCAGTGGACTTTACACCTACATAGTTGACTCCATATTTCTATACAGACTCCCCATATTCTCTGCCCATAGATATTATACTCTTTTGCAATGAAGTCCTATTGGCTTCTTGCATTTTTGTGGAATTTTGTCTTTTCTGGTGCAACATGCTGGTCCATTTTAAGCAAGTTTAATGCCTCCCATGAGGCATCCATCATTACTTAATGAATCTGAAAAAGGCAGCCATCCCAGAGGTGTTGCAAACTGTAGACAATATTGTTTTACTGAAAAGCAATGATCACAGCATTTTTCACAGGCTGGCTCCCGCTTCACAAATTTGTAAATGAGGGTCCTTTATTTATAAAGTGTCCAAGTAGTTCCCCTGCAAATCAAGATGTACATAAATCTACGAAATGCAGGTGCAGGGAGAAAGTAGCCCTAAAGTCCCACCATAGTCAGTCCCACCTTATAGCCAGAGCTAACTGCAAAGAAAAATGATATAAAACAATTAACAGCTAATGTTTTTTGCCTTTCAATGGTGTAATGTAACTATTCAAGGCCCCCACAATCTAAAAAGAGCTGTATATCACCACATAAAAAAGATGAGGGCAAAACAGCAGCAGGTACCCTAAAATATAAAAAAATAAACAGTTATTAGCATATAAACAATTGAGTTTAGTTCAGGCAAATAAAACCAGGGTGTCACACAAACTACCTGAGACTTTCTCTACACGCCATTGAGCAGAACACTGGAACCTGCAACACTGGTGATCCTAGAATAAACATACACACACAGTTAAAGTCATATATCCACAAAAAAGGCACTAAAATCAATTTATAGCACAAGTTACCTCATATCTAGCGTGGATTGCCTTTATGTACACTTGGGGTGTTTATGAAATTAGCCTACAACCAAAGAAAACAATCACTGCACTACAAAAAAAAGTTTCTTTGAATGAAGAAAGGAGATCAGCAAACCTCAACTGCATTGAATTCAAAAATCCATCTTACAAGTCTGCCAAACAGCAGAAGTGTCTGAACAGCTCATTAAAAGGCTCTTTACACTGCATGTCTAATGGCATGTCTTTGACCTAAAAACCTAGTCCAGCTGATTTTTCAAAGTTTTTTTCCGCTCTTGTCTGGTAATGACTCTATTTGCCAAATATTTCACACATTTTACCCATGAAATCCCTCCTTCATGGCCTTGACAGAGATCATATTCATACATGTTTCAAGGCTCCTATCTGCTCTAAGTATCTTACTGATCATTGCCCCTGGTCAAACACACAACTCACCACACTAATCATTTCAACAGAAACAAATAAATATGTTTTTATTTCAAACATCAGACTGTGGGCCTGGTCCGCATCACAACACAGATGTATTTATTTGTGAGTACACGTTACACAACGTCCTGTTTATTCCAGTAAATGAGCAGCGGTGGGTTGAATCAAACCATGTGCTTGAACTTCACTCACTTATTTCTTCACTTTATTTAGAGCACCGAACAGGAAACGTGTCATTGTTACATTTAATAAAAAGTTTACTAACTGAATAGGCTTGTTCAAGGACAGAAGGTGCTTTTTTCCTGGCTGTTTCACTTTGCAACAAAGTAGATGAAACAAAAAGACAATAGAAGAGCTATGTGTTACCATACCCAAGTCCACGTATTTAAGTGCCTGTGTTTGTGTTTATGTAGTATTTCCATACACGAGATCTGGCTCTAATGTATTCTGTGGTGCAGAACATCTAAACGTCCTCGCCCAAAGCCTCAGCCCCGATGAGGTAGGATATCACGTAAACACACTTACACACACTGAATTGTTTTCTTCTTCTATCCTCACCCTCAAAATGTCTTCCTTTGTAAAACCATTTAAAGCCAATTAACGCCAAGAAATGTTTCTTGGAGGGAATTCACTAATGTGTCTGATTCATCTGGTATAACTGACCTAATTCATTCAGTCCTTTGTTCATTTTTACTTAGGTTGTCACAGACACCAAATTACATGCATGCATTGACACTAACAAGATAATGTACTAGATACAAAAAACATAGTTTGGCAACTTGAGAAAACTGATAAGTGACTTGCTTTATTATAGGCCTCAAATACATGCACAGTAACTGGTGCGGGTCCGTGTTGTGTACTGTATTGTACAGACATTATAAAAGCAGGCATAATGGAATAAACAGCTGCCACATCTATTTAGCTTATCTCCCCCTTGGGTGTCCTCTTTAACATTAACCCTTGACCAGCTAGGTGGCGATTCCAATTTCTATTGTCAAAAGTGGATGTCAGGACATGGGAATGGTTCCATTTTTAACAACATGCCTGCCATTAGAGATCATTCCCACTGTTTGGTCATGAAATGATCTGAGCAGATGTTGTTCCCAGTGGAGCATCCAAGTTGTGTTCCTGTTTCCATGTGTCCTCACTCCCACTGGGACATGACCACAGTACCTGTAACTGTCTCCGCTTGGCCTTGCCTGCCTCTTCGTGCCCCCTCCTTTTTCTCCACAGGAGGCACCGGCCAGCCGGTCCCGGAGGACAGTGGATGAGTCAAAGACCACCTGCCTGCTCCACCTCTGTGCTGACCACCTATACTACAAGAGGTTCAAGTCTGTGGAAGCTGTTGTGGCGCAGGTGACAATACTTTATATGTGATACATAGTGACATGTTCTTAACAGTGATTTCATTTTCACTTTCAGGATTAATGGTCCTGCGTGAAGTTACAAACCATGTTACAAAAATATAAATCCTCATCTATTTTAGCTAAAAATGGAACTCACTGAGGTTCTTTGTCCCAGTTTTCTTGACACAAAGAAAGCATGTGCGTCACCCTTCTCCAAAGCGAAGCACTTATTGTAGATGTTTCTGATTCCTGAGCTACCTGATGTTCCAGGCTTCAGTGAACACAATGTACACTTGAGCATTTCTTGTCTAATAGAACAGATCAAGTGTGATAAAGTTCCATGCCTTCCAAAAGATGATGTCAGGTACTTGTAGCAAAATAATTAAATTTTTTATCGATCTATCTTGGCTTCTGAAGAGCCTCTTTGTTGTTTTACAAACATGGGGGTACTTTTGCCATATGTGGGACAGAGTGTAATGGAACATCCAACAGGTGCATCACAACACAACAGGATTTCCTCAGCTGTAAGCTGAGCACTACACACTTGTTTACACACCTGGGACACACGGTGCTGCAAACAAAGTTCATGGATGTAATTATTAGTCCTAAAATCTTATCCCAGTAAAACAAGTGATGCTATAGGCCATTAAAACAAAATTAGTTAACTTGTTTCCAAACATGTCAAGTGTCATTTGCTGTTTTTCCTCTTATGCCTCTGTGCCAGCGATAGTGATAGTCACAGGCATTATGTTTTTGAGTTGTGGGTCCATCCGGCCCATTCTTTTGAATGTGATATCTCAGGAACTCCTTGAGGGGATTTTGTCAAATTTGGCACAAGTGTCCACTTGGATTCAAAGATGAACTGATTAAATTTTGGTGGTCAAAGGTAAAAAAACAAGTTCACTGTGGCATCTGTTGTATTTCCGTGAATGGTTGGTGGAAGCATACAACTGTGACGCAGTAAAGCTAGTTTTATCTTGTTTCAAAGGGGTTTTGAATGCCGTCCTAAATTGATTGCCCGACATTTAAAGACAACAATAGAAAACAATTTCTGGTGCATTATTTGCCACAGAAAAATGTAAAAATCTATAGGTGCAAAGTGTTGCTGCTGCACAGCTGAATAATGGCCCAAATGCCAGGCCATGCACAGACACATGCAGCTCTCATGGCATCGCATGTGGCAGGAGCAGAGAGGAGGTTGAAAACTTTTTCATTCTCCAAGAACATGATGGCAAATGGAGTGTGGGCATTAATCTAGTGAGGCTCTGTGCCAGCTGTGAAGGTGTGTTAGCTGAGCTACCAGTCCATTTAGTTAAACACACAGGGCCAGCCACCTCCAGTTCTTCCCCTGGAGCAACAATACCAAAGCCCAGCTGGTCGATGGAAGGATAGATGTTTTGTACCAAATCGCCAGAACACAACCTAACTTCAAGATACTCTCTGATGTCTTTAACCCTTGGTCCTGCACTCTTGACCTTTGAACTTATGAGCACAGTGACACAGTAGTGTCACTGAGAAGGGGCCGATGTATTAAAATCTGCTAGTTCAGTTATCAACATGTTTTTCACAATTAAAGTGAACTGAATAATGATGAAAAATCATTCATATTCAAACTGTTTCTTATTTAAACTGATCTTGGTTTCAGATTTGAATGGCAGACTGGGTTAAAGGCTGCCTGCCTGTTGGTGCGCCTCAGTGCAATAAGCAACATTACAGTTATTATCAGTGTGTGCTTCTCTGTCAGAGCAAAGCGCTTGTCACTGGGGCCAAAGGAGACATGAGATGCTTTTGTGATACTGACATTAGCAACATACTGAAATGAGAATCCAGCAGCACACAATAATATAATTAACTATGTAACTTCCTCTAAATTAAAACTAATAAACAGCATTTGTCATTCCACACTTGATCTGAATTTATAAAATATTCATTCAAAAATAATCAAGGATAAAACGACAAATCTGCTGAGAAATACTGTTGTGTGATTGTCAAAGCTTTCTGCCAGGCACTGTACTGGTCAGCCAGCCATGCCTCAGCCATCCATTAATGATACACTGTATTAGACTAGTTTTTCATGCAAACTTGTATCATTCACAGATCGCCTCCTACATGCGAACTGTGAATGACATCTATGACAGGGTGGACTTCGATGGAATCAAGCTGGTCAACTTCAAAGTCAAATCCCTCAATGTAAGATCCTTCTGCACTCAAACAAGATTGTCTCAGACCTTAAAGCGACACACTTCAGATGCAGGTCACTGATAACTCCATACAGCCAGTAATCCTGGCTGTCACATGCTCAGTTCTTTAATTCACAAAAATGTCATGACCTCATTGTTAAAATGAACAGAAAGAGCCTTTGATTAAAATAGCTGGGTTCATCTGTTACACTCAGGTGGTGTGTGTGTGTGTGTGTCTTTGTCTACCAGTGAAAAACTAACTCGGACTATAATTTTTCTCAGAGCTGTGGATGTGTGCGACTGATCAAATCAAGTGAGCTCCTTCACAGATGATTTAACAGAACCACGTCCCACCTTCCCTCTCCAGGTAATGACCGAGGAGGATAAGAACGATCCTCTGACCCCTCTCTACATCGGGCCAGAAAAACTGTTGAGTCTGTACTCTGAAAAAAACTGGGGCAACTTCTGTCTGTCGTACCTGCTCACTGACAGAGACTACAGTGGAGTGCTGGGCCTCGCCTGGGAGGGCAAGCCTGGTGAGTCCCAGTCACTGGGTCACACATGTGCACACACACACATCACAAAGGCACGCACTCACACATAAAACTCCTGCAGATTTATTAATTAGTGCCTCAGTGGTTGCCATAGCAAACCACAACACAAAGATCCTGAATTAAAGTTTCCTTGGCTCTAGTTTGCCACACATACAAAAGACTCATCTGAGATATAAAAAAAATGTTGTAATAATCCTGCACCGGTTCCCTAAGCGCTGGTAATTAGTACATTTGGAAGCTCACATACAACAGCAATTTGAGTAAGCACTCAAATTCTCATGTGTTATTTAAATGCCTGCTGTCACTTAATGCATGTATCTGTTAAGGTTTCGGTTTAAAGAAACCAAGTGCAGACAAGGACCAGGTTATGGTAATCAGGTCATTTAATGCCACACAGAAAACCAAACACAGGCAATAAAATACAGGCTACACCCACAAGCTCACGAATGAACCAAGACTTAAAGCACGTACACCTAAAGAACACAACTCAGGACTCAGGTTGAGGGAGCTGAAGTGAATATAAAGGGTAGGCAGGGCTGAGACAATGAGCAACAGGTGTAAGTGATCAAAATTTATCAACAGCCAGAGTAAAGATAGCATGAGACAAGAAATACAGTATCTTCAAAATAAAAGTCTAAGACAGGACATCATTGGGAATCATGACAACATTACTTACAAGGACAAGGCTGGTCATTCTCTAAACAGTGTTAATAGTATTTTCAGCAATCTACAATAGACTAAAACCGACAGTGAAACACAGGGCAACACACCGCCACACCGGGTGACAGGTTTATTCATTATGAAACCCCAGACCCACCTATATTACCCCAATGACTCCGAGCAGCCATAATTAACTGAAGTTAGCACATGTCAGAGTCAATTGTGCATATGCAAGATCTTGCATGAGCTCTCAGTTTTATTTCTATTCCTTAAGCTCCTCATGATCAGGTCTGGGGTTTGCTAACGAAGAAATATGTCACTCAGTGCAGTGGTGTATTTCACTGCTGTGTTTTTAATCATTTTTTAACAACAATGGAGGTCTATGGCACAGACGGACAAGCTAATCCAGGACTGACAGCTGACAGACATGATTCATGAGTAGAGGCAATTCACTGTCAGCTGAAAATACTCTTAATATAGAAAAAGACCAACCTTATCCTTTAAATTTTGGTGACTGCTTTACCAAAACCTTAAAATAAACCCAAAGTAGATGTATTAAACTTAATCCCCCAAAACTGATAAAAGATGTTATGAACATGAAGCTTGCATTTTTGCTGCACATTAGACAATTTGTGTCTTCTCTTTATGTATGAAGCCGAGTTAATGGACTTTAGAGCATATCAAACTGATTAATAATACTACTTTATGTCTGAAAGGGTTACAAATTAAACATGTATAGTCTGACAGTAGAAGCAAATTTGAAATCTTATCTTACAAAAATATGGGAGATTAAACAGAAACCACATGAAGCAATACAATTTCTTTTTGTTCTTTAAAATTAATTGCATATTTTTACAAAATATATACATTGAGAATGTACAGAATCTGCTTTAAAAAATGAAATGTCGAGTACAAACTGTATAAAAAAGAAACTTTCAACCATTTTCTATCAAGTTGTTCATTAACCTATTGTAAATACATGTTACACCACGAGAAAACTAACGATCTGATATGACTTCTGTCAGGTCTTGTGACAAAGTGTACTGGGTGTAGCATTATTGGTGGGTCGGAGGAAGGTGAACATGTACTGTATGTTGGGGAGGTTGTGGTGGGATGTTCGTGCATGTGAAAGAAAGTCTCACATGCAGCTTTTGATTGACTAAACTGAGGGGCGTGAATAAGAGCAGACCACCACAATGACGCGATTAAGACCCTCAAACACATATGTAGGACAGTGTTAGGGTTAGCCCCCCTCGCCAGGAGGGTGAGGGAGGACTAGAGGTAGGACACAAGATTGCTGACCCAGGTGCTAGTGCTAAACAAAGGTTTAATGGGGGAAAAACAAGACAAAGCCAACGTAACAATAAAAACAGGATCCAAAATACTTACAAAGGGAAGGTAGTGACAACAAAAGAGACCGGGACGAACAGGTAAGCAAACAAACTAACGATGGGAAACCAGGCAAGAATCTAACAGGACAGGTAACAAAGAGGCGGAGACGAAAACGAGAGTATGTGTATGTGTGTGTGTGTGTGTGTGTGTGTGTGTGTGTAGTGGGAATAGCGCCTGTAGTGTCTAAGGAGTCAAGCCAAAACGCAACAGTCACTGTCAGCGTAGCATTCCCTAGTACACATACGTACAATGGCCCATCTGTAGTGCAAAACATCCGTAGCTAATGTTAGCTATGTACGGTGTAACGATGTACGACACAATGTTCCGGCGACGGCGGAGCGTCTGACAGAGGTTTAAGTACTGGAAAAAGTAATCATCGGGATGCACCCCAGCTGTGTGCGATGACAAAACTGGTTACCAATTACACACAGCTCTCCCAGAGTGCTTAGTGAAGGCTTGTGGCTACATTCCAAAGCATGGTCATCATGGTGATGTCTCCTGTGAGGAACACACACACACACACACACACACATTGTGGATTCATGGTAGCAGTGACAGTGTTGTGACTTTTGAGTTTTGTGAGCACCCCGACATAAGAGCAGCGCATGGATAATGTTTCCACAAACAGACACACTCCACAACCCACTGCCACCAGTTTGTTTGTGGCATCCAGAAAGAGGAAGCCTTTTCCCATAGGACTGTAGCTCAAACACTCTGATGCCCCTATAGCTACAACGAAGTGCACCCAGCACACACTCCCATCAATCACCATGGACTCCTCCTCTAGCCGCTCCGAGTTGTGTGTTCATATGTTGAAGAATGATGGGGGGCTGGGGCCCAAAGATCTTGAGCTTCCCCACTATTAATACTTCATCTAATCCTGAGAGTAACAAAAGGAGCAGAATGGGGTCAGGGACTGGGTGGGATCATTGTACTGACACTGTTCTTTTAGGAGGATGTAAATGTAAGAATAAAATATCTGTATTACAACAAATATACAGTATGTACTCAAAAACCTGACTCGTGCAGTAAGAAACCTTTTACAACTCACTGTTCCACATGCTTGACAGTAGCACTATTACAGTAGTACAGAATTTTCAGGGACTGCTAGCAACATAGTTACATAAATATGAATATTTACTGGAATATTCAGTGTAAACCTTCAGACTAGACTAATTTTCTGTTACTGTACCGATTTTTTAAAAGAACACCCTGTCACTATGTGGTAGACAATAGATAATGAGGATTTAATGCAATGTTTAAATTGATTCAGATGATGGACCTTTTTACATGTAATACTTTCATGAGTGGAGAAATCTGTTGTAGTTTGAGCTTTGCAAATGTAATGTGCTTGTTTCTCAAAAGACTCTTATTGTTTATTTAAAATCAGAGGAACACTAGACAGAGCCCTCTGATAAGGGAAGGGGCCCATGTAGATAATGTGGAGAACTGGAGAAACACCAGTTATCAGCAGCTAGACTTTCTCTCTTCCTGCACGGTAACAAAGCTTTAACCTGTCAGACCTTCTCTACTTGTTGTCCAAACATAATATCTGTAATGCTACAGAATGTGAGTAAAGCCTGAAAAATATCAGGAACACAGCTGGGCACCAGAAAATGCTTAATTTTTCATGTTTAACTGAGATTCTTGTTCTATGCGATTTTCATCATTTTAGCTTTTATGATAATATATAACTCAATGGGTACATTTTTAGGATGAACAACCTACAGTTATTTCCCAAGCTCTCTTATAAATAATTTTACAAGAGTATTTCCTGGTTCAGTATTGATTATGATTAACATTTTACATTCAATTTTGTTTCATTTCTAAATTAGTGGTTTAATTATTATCATTAAGTTGGGGAATGATTTGTCATCTGTCTGATCGACTCTCCGTTTGTGTTGTGTGAGCGTTGATGCATTCCAGACAGATTAAGTCTTTTGTTTTCAGCAGGTCAAATCAGTTTTATAATACACTGAATAAATGCCATTCAAACTTGCAACATGAAGGTCACTGAACTCTGGAGACAAAGAGAGCAACGGTGTCACTGGGGCTTTCTGAGAACTTTACAGTGTTACCAGCGGCCAAGTGCATGCTGTGTTTTTGTTGTTAAAGGTTTTATTAGGACACATCACTTTCCCCTTTGTGGTTTGCAAGGAAAGACTTCCCCT